ACATCTCTGAAAATGGTATGTAGGTCGAAGACAAAGGTACTAACTTATTTAACTTCAATAGAGTATGTTTGAGACTGACTAACTCAATATAATATTAAAAATAAATTGAACCAATGATACCTCAATACATATTGATATTTTTGGTGCTATCAAGTCATATTCTAGACAGAAAAAACATTTGCATAAAAAATGTCAATATTCATTATACATCGAGACTAAAGTCAGACTACTACAAATTACTTCCAATATTAAATTAAGTTAGGCATAGCATGTCTAGTTTATTTGAACTTGAACAAGTCACTACCCTTATTTGACTTACTAATTTTAAAAATTATTTATTTGATAGTAAGCTTCATTTCATAAATTTATTTATTATGCTATGACAAATTACAGGAAAACATATTTATTTTTTAAATAAATAATTACGTTCACCAAATAAATTAAATATTCAATCTTTTTCTTCTCTTTCTTTTAATAATATGATATTTGAATAATTTTAATAATCTATTTGAATGATATCACAAAGTAATTTAAATTTTGATTCTAAATTGCTTTTTTTAAATGATTAGCAAAAAAAACATACAGTTTTCAGTAAGATTTCTGTTAAAAAAGATTTGATTTTAGCTTTTCCCTTAATTTTTTTCTTAAGTTACCATAATCAATAATTATATATATCATAATATAACCAAGTAAAATTAGAAAATGACTGCAAAATTTAAAGAATTGTAAAAAGTAAATAATGAAGAAATTAGAAAAATCATAAGCTAATGTATAGTGGCTCAACCACCCAATTGATCTACATCCACTCCATAAGTCCTCATCTATATATTTTCATTAATCTCTTCTTCTCTAAAATAAGATGAAAAAACCTTCTACTTAAAGTGAGAAGCACGTTACTCTTAGCACAACTTGCTACTAACAACATTTATTTCAAGGTATGATTTCAAACACTCTAGTATAACATGCTAGATAATGAACCTTTTAGAAATAATAAAAAAAAAAAGATCATGTTGAGATTACTGATCTCTCTTTAAGGTTTCATTTGTGACAACTTTCTTATTGCTTTATAAAAAAGCTTTTTAGTACAAAAATTTTTTGAATTAAAATTTTTTGTACTACCAGCTACTTTAAGAGACAGTAAGAAAGCTATCTCAAACAAAATCTAAATCAACAAACTGAGCTTCAACAGCTGAAACTCAATCTTTAAGTTTAGAGGATTGTAAGAAAAATGTCTAGGTGTATAATTTTTCATTGATTTTTCTCTAAAATCTCTATTTCAAGCTTTGCCAAATTGATAAACACCCTTTTAATAAACTCATGGAAGTAATCATCAGCCTCTGAATTAAGAAAATTCTCAATTAATGCTTATTAGAACTTGAATTTTAACTTACTGTTTACAATACTGTATAATCATGATCATATAGTTCAACTATTTTTTTTCTACTTGTTAAGTCTGTTGAATTAAGAATATGTGCTAATGGAATTAAAATAGGAAATGAATCATATTGTATGATGGACATCATATAACATGATTAGTTTATTATTTGAAATATTTAATTTATGTAAAATTAATTTTGATGATTTATTTCAAAATATAGATACTCTATTATACAATCTATATTGTATGGTACATTCATAAGATTAATTTTGATTAATTAGATTATATCTTAACCAATCTAGTAGTTTGAATGAATTTGAAACTATGATTGAACATCATCATATTGTATGATCTCTCATCAAACAATAGAATTTGTTTTGAATTTTTTTCATAGTACTTATTATTTAATTTAAATAATTTTTTTCATAGTACTTATTATTCACTTCAATTGTAAGTATAATTCAATATAATTTAGCTTTATGTTTGATATAAAGCAACTGATGTCATTATTGCATTAACCTTAGATATTAATATTAGCATATACCAAAATGCAGCTCACCTTCATTTGTTGGTTGTGAGCTTTGGCTATTAACCCTTTTAATAAGCTATCGCATGTGATTGCGTGTGAGTTTACCTTAATTGGGTCAAAAGTCTAAAAAAGAACACGTCAAATTATGTTTGCAATCATTAAAATTATGATTGTAAGCTTAAACTCATGACTTGAAACTCATTGAATATCAAATTCATCCTCACCCCAATTTTTTATAAGATGTATCCACATAGCTAATGATCACAAGCTCTACTATATTGCAAAGTTTCAAAGGCAAGTCTCAAAGCAAGACTTAAGTTACACTCTCAATGATGTTTGACATTTAGCTAGCAATCATAAGCTAAAGATGCACTTCCTATTGACTGTTCTGTAGCCTCATCCCACTCGCCAACATTCCCTATCCTATTATTAGCCATTCTCAATGAGTGCCAAATAAAAATGTTGATATCTAAATTTATATTAAAACAATCAATCAGATAGATTTGAAGAGGAGATTGAAGTGTAGTATAAGTCCTAAAGGGATAGAGAAAGAAACCAAAAAGAAATAATGATGTAAATATGATTTGTCAGATTATTTGAATATACCATGGCCTCATAAATTACATCTAGAAAATGCCGTGTTGATGATGCTTAGTGTCCTCTTATATATTCCTGATATTCATTTGAGTTTAGTTAAGCATTTCAATATCAACGAACTAGTTAGCTGATTTTCAAGACAGATTGATCATTATTAGAGGGGCACTTGAGTGAATATCTATGTGTTAAATCTTCTAAAAATTCTCTCAAAGGCATCAATAAAGATCTGCTCATGTGTTTCTAAGATATTCACTAGAGAGGATTCTCCTAAAATAGAGAGATTATTATATGCGGGCATCAAATACATTCAAATACCAATAAAGGAGCTACCATGTCACGCAATGCACTGTACATTGAGTGACATGATATCTCCTGATTGACATCCTAACGTATTTGACGTCCGCACGTAATAACATTTCCCTAAAGTATTAATTCGAAGAACTTGTTGCTTTTTTTACATTGAGCATCCTACTAATTTTTTATCCATCACATCCAAATGGGTTTTCTTTTGCTCAATACTTGCACTACACGCCAAATAATTTTTAATTAGTCTAAGTATCCAAAAGAGTGTCCTAGGCGTTTTCCTCTTTTACTTCTTCAGAAGGTTGGGGGGCAAATTATGCCATTCTCACAGGACCATGCAGATATTTTCTTGTGTCCTGAAACCGAATGAGCACCTTTTATTTATTAAACCTCTATTTATGACTTTAAAACTACCAAGAATAGAGTGCACCTACCTTCAAAAATAAATAAATCTTTCGAATGGGATTAGCTAAAACATTTAACAGTTTTCACTAAATTGTTTCAGAAGTTTCTTCACCACCACCAACAACAACAACAACAACATCAAGCCTTTATCCCACTACGTGAGGTCGGCTACATGAATCTTTTTTCTCCATTGTGTCCTATTAAAAGTCAAATTCTCGTTTAAATCTAATAAAGAAAGATCATTCCTAATATTTTCTAACCAAGTCTTTTTAGGTCTACCCCTACCTTTCTTAACACAAGTCAAATCTACTACGTCTACTCTCCTAATCGGATCATCGGAAGGCCGCCTTTTTATGTGACCAAACCATCTAAGACGACTCTCTCTAATCTTATCTTCTACTGGAGCTACTCCAACCTTTTCACGTATATGCTCATTTCATATCCTATCTTTAAGGGTAAAGCCACTCATTCATCTGAGCATCCTCATCTCTGTCACACTTGACTTAGTATTATTCCTCTCTTTTAATAGCCAACATTCGGCACCATAAAGCATAGCAGGCCTCACTATCATCTTATAGAATTTTCTCTTAAATTTGAGGGGCACATTTCTATCACATAACAAGCCCGATGCATTCCTCCACTTCAACCATCCAACTTGAATTTTGCCTCAGAAGTTTCTTCACCCATGGACTTAATTAATTTCTTATCTTTTTTAGTTTATGCTGTATTTTTTTTTTTTCAAGATTAAGTTGCTTGAAAGATGTGAAATTTAAAATCTTACTCATTATTGGGGTTTTTTTTAGATAATTTTCCATTCGTTAGGACTTTGATAATAAATAAAATTCTCCAACTCTTTGAATTAAAATTTCATTTGAAACATTACTACTCTTTAAAGTTTTTTTTCAAAAGCAGCTTAAAAAAGAAGTGATACTGTTCCCATATGAAGGCTAAGGCATAGTAACAGCCTGATGTCACATATATGGCGCAGATAAGCTGAATGAGATCCATTGGAAATCATGATTCCTTAAACAAATAGTTTTCATCCAAGGCACTCTCTATTTCTACGCATCTAACACGACCTCTCTCTTATAAATGAGAAATTATTACGTGCGGAGACTGGTTCAGACAACCGTTTGATTTCTCTATGAACAGTAAAAGCATAATAAACTGCATTTTTATTGTTCACATAGACAAAAACAAACGGTTCTCTATGTTCAGTCTCCGCACGTAATAATCTCTCCTAATAAAGGCCAACTAGGCAGCCACAAAAAAAAGAGTGCTGATTCCAATTTACTTGTATTCATGTGAAATGAAAATAATTATATTTTTTATAGCCGTTATAGTGGAATTTGCAAATGTAAAATCAGTATCAATTTCTAACAACACCAACCAAATAATTCATCTAAAAAATTTCATCATTAAAAAAAAAACAATGATATATCATCTCAATTGTAAGCAATACAACGTCATAGAAAACTAAATCAACGAGTAAAGGCACTTTGTTGAAAATAATTTGCACACATCTTTTGCATTTACAATTCATTATGAGTCGATTACCATTACATTATTCTGTGCGGAGGCCGGACGCAAAACGTCATACAGAGATCAACCATAATATGCTACATCAGCAGTACCGATTCACGGTACCGAATAAGAGGTGATGTGGTGCATTCTATTTAATCTCCGGAGGACGTTCGGCATCTGCACAGAATAATTTTTTCAAATAATACAGATATTTCAATACACTATTTCCGTGCAGGAGATACAATTCCAAACACAGTTGCACAATAACGAAAATCTAATTAAATTAATGGATTTTGTGACGAAAAAACTAAGTAACTAGAGTGGAGTTTATTAGATAATATCATTATACTTGCAGGGGCAGAAATTTTTGGTCGCGCATTCTTTTTTCATTAGTCATGCTTTTAGGTGGGCATTTTAGAATAAAAATAAAAGGAACAGAGAGATGCAGATGATTTCAACATTATCTGCAGTTGACAAAAGAGAATAGATGGCCTACTAGTAGAGTAGTTACTAACAACCATCACACCACAGATTAATATAGATAAGTGTACCACCAAACTTTGTTCTTTACGCTGCATATGTTGAGTAGCTTCCAAGTTAATATCAAACATTTCAATACAAAGCCAGCTGCCACTTCAATCCTTCTGTCTTCTTTTTCTTTCAGTGATAGCTAAAAGAAGTGTTAAATCTACAAGAATACATATGTAAACGACCATATTTTCTTGAATAAGCAAGCACTCCTAATGCTTCGTTTGGGATGGCTTTTTTTCTGCTTCATTAAGCAACTTTCTAATACAAAATTTTTTAATTTTGTATTAAAAAGCTGCTTTAAGTAGCAGAAAGAAAGCCGTCCCAAACGAAGCCTAAGTATTGTATTTGCAAATAATTATGTTTCCGGAAACAAAGATTGTGTGTCTAGTTTCATTTGCATGCTTCAGCAGTGGTTTAGTTATTAGTTGTCATCATGATAAAACAGAACAACAAAAATGAAAAATAAACTCTTCAAACAATACATTAGGTTTGAAAGGACATTTCTATGATTTCCAGAAGGTTCATTTCGCTTGCGGAGGTAAATAATCTATGCTTAAAGAATGTAAAAGAGAAACACATAGAAGGCTTTAGGATGGCTAAAATGAAGTAAAAACACAGACACAGGACAGCATATGCAAATACTATGTGCTTTTAAGAGGTGTAAAGGTGAAAACCTTGAATAATTATATTCTATATGTAATTAGGGGTGTCAATATTTGACACGACACGAAAACCCGACCCGGACCCGGACCCGGACCCGACCCGGACCCGGACCCGGACCCGACCCGGAAAATCCGGGTTGAACCCGACCCGATTTCAAAACGGGTAGGGGTCGGGTTCCAGAAATCGACCCGTTTCAAAAACGGGTCGGGTTCGGGTTGACCCGGCGGGTTGCCGGGTCAACCCGCCAACCCGTTTAATTCGAAAAAATTCAATCAGTTTTTCGACCCGTTTCTCTACCCGGTTCGGGTTAGGGTCGACCCGTTTCGCACCCGGGTCAGTTCGGGTTCGACCCGAACCCGACCCGTGACCCGAAATTGACACCCCTATATGTAATGCCCACTGGTTTCAGGTTTTTGATGCTTGCTGACTAGTTCTCCGTGAAGCTGGACGGCACAATATTGGATGGCCAATGGCAATATCAGAGTACATGCTATATGTTCAAGTGAAGGTTTCGGATAAGCTATATATATATATATTTAGAAAATATTTTTATTTATTTTAAATTTTGATATGTTTCGAATAGTAAACTACACAGCTTCCAGCCCAACAGTTGGATCACCTCTATACAATACTTGATGTCATGTATACAGGAGGGAAAAACAAGCTGTTTCTCAAGTGCCTGTCCAGCCTTCAAAAGCTTTACATTCAAGTAAAGTTTGTTGGGAGCAGGGCCCCTGGAGTGAGAAAGTGGTCACTCCTCCATGAATCAAAAAGAAAGTTGCAAGGAGTTTCTATAAATTCACGAACAAGAAACAAGGAAAAAGTTGCAAAAGAGATGAAATAAAAGGGAACTGATCCTTGAAGAAATAACCAATGCCAAGTTTCTTGCAGGAGAAAAAACAAGGAAGCAATATAAACTCCTAAGGTCACTGGAGAAGAAACTCCTGTGAAGGATGACATGGATTTTAATCTAGACTGCCCCCTTATGGTCATCTCTAAAGGTTCGTCTCATTTTTTCTTCTTATTTTGTTTTTCCCCCAACTTGCTATATTTCCCTATTGCTTTATATATAACAACATGGCTTCATAAACATCCTTCACAAATAAAATGCTTTCCATATTCAGAATGCAGTCATCATGGTTTATATGTAGATTTTATTCGCGTAAAAACGTATATTCCTACTTGGATTATGTTCTTCTGGTTCAACATTTGAATTCTACTTCAAAACACAGTGGAAAGCTGTAGACCTGTAAAAGCGGGTTAATAGAGGCTAGAATCTTAAAGATGAAAATACTAAATTATTTTATTTGAATTAGGGGTTTCAGAAAAATTTAGCCCGGAGCATGCCTTTTATCTTATTTTCTACATAGACCTTGCAATATACTCACGTGGAAGAACCATAAAGAAATTTAAAAAAATTTCTAACACTTCATTATTTTGGGTATTTATAAAAAAATCTTAAGAGAATAGCTAATTAAAGTTCAAGAATTCATTCTCATATGTAGGGTTGTCAAAATCTGTCAGGTTCGGGTCAAACCCGAAACTGACCTGACACCAGTTGACCCGTCGTATTTCAACCAGGCCCGACCTGCAAACATGCTTTGAAGGATGCGTTGGATGGCGCAGGTGACGGCACAGGCGGAGTGAGGCATCACGGTGAGGGCATCATGGCTAGCTCGTTTTGAAGGAGATGTTGGACAGCGCAGGCGACAGTGCAAGCGGGCGACAGCGAGGCGGCGACGAGACAAAAACGGGATTTCACGCGATGAGCGACTCGACAGTAGCACGCAGGGTGAAGGCGTGACGCGACTGCGACTCAACATCGCGTGTTTTTCCAAACGGGTTAAACCAGGTTGAGTTTGGGTTTTCGGGTCAACTCGAACCCGACCCATTTTTTTAAAGGAATCGAATCCGGGAACCCGAACCCTACCAATTTCGAAATCGGGTCGAGTCTAACCCAAAATTTTTAGGTCTGGCTCGAATCGAATTTTCGTGTCGTGTCAAATATTGACACCCCTACTCATATGATAATCTTTCATTAAAAACATTGAAAACCAATGATGAAAGATCAAAGTTCAAGAATTCATTCTCAAATGATATTTTCTAACTTTCTAATATTTTTCTAAACAATGAAAACCAATAAATATCAAAGTTCAAGAATTTATTTTCATATACTAGTATTTTTTAAATAATGAAAATAAATGGAGGGTAAACATTTTGAAAAAGGGAACAATTAGCTATCGTATTTTAAGTACAAATTGTTTTTTTATCTTTCGCATTGTTACTTATTGTGTTCCTTAACAGGCAATAACTTCGTTCACAAAATCAATAGACCCTAAACCTTGTTAAGTCAGGAAAATCTAAGAGAAGAAAAAAAAAACCAAATATACCATATAATGCAAAAACTGATATTCAAATTCTAAAGAAAGAATGCATTAGAATTTTCAATTAATAAATCTCAACTTAAATAAGAAAATTATAATAGATATGTCATTAATTGCATGCAATGATTGGAATTTCTTAATTCCTTGCCGCCTGAAATAAAACTTTGGTTGCAACTAGTTCATATTTGGAAGAGAAACTACTAGATGCCATCATTCTTTGAAATAACCATATTAAGGTGTTGGCGCGGATCTTCTCTCCCTAATTATATTCAAGCATTATCATGACAAGGTTTTGTACTTTATACATACAACCCTGTTCATAGAGATTTCTTCTAACAAATATAAATTAGTTTTCTTTCGTACAAGAAAGGGGAAAAGATATTCCAACTAAAAGCATCCCATAGCATAACCTAGAGGTCAATACCATAGCTTAATAAGATAAGTGTATGCTTCTGAGATTAGAAAGTAGTTGAATGAATGTGTATCCTAAACACAATGCTAAAGTATTTATTCATTACTAGGCTACCCAAGTTGACATTTTTCACAATAACCAATGACAAACAAAACCTGAGGAAGCTTGAATATGGAAAAATTGATCATAACATTAGAGAGAAATGTTAAAATGTTTAGCAAATAAAGCATCAACAAGTAAGCTAGGGTAAGGATGTAGCTCTAAGGGAAAGGAAACAAAATCCAAAATACAAATTATACTGTTAGAGATGAACTTGTATAATTGTTGAACCTTATAGTGCTCAATTTTCCCAACTTCATATTGCTTTCCTTAACAATGCAGGATTGTTTTAAGGTAAACTAGTGATGCAAAAAGAATGGGGAAGAAAGGTGGTTGGATCTCTGCATTGAAAAAGGCCTTCACCTCAAAATCCAAAGAGAAATTTGACACTGTAAGCATTTACAGTGAATTATTGTAAACTTTGTTTAATGTCAACTTTATTCTAGGAGCTTCTTTTTTTTCAGATAAATTGATAAAACATATTTCAAATGATAATATGACCAATGTATTCATACAAATCCTAAGGATAACTAGCTTATTAACAGTCGCTACTGTATAGCTATTTTGGTGTCATGCATCACAAATTGAACAAAGAAAAGAAAGCAATTTCAAAGAACGACACAATCTTATCCAAAATCTAGAACGGAGTGCTCTACAAAACATAAAAGCTTGTACTGAAAAAGCTAAATTTGAGCGCAGGGTCCCGGTAACTATGTTAAGGAGAAGAAGCAGGAGCTAGGAAGGAAAAGACATGGGGAGGCAAATTCCTTCATCCCACTTTATAGAGAACCAAGCAGCATCGAGAAAATCTTGAGCGATGTAGAGAAAGAGCAGCAATACAGGGCAAATCAAGTGTCCTACAAAAAAGTTCAGCAGCCAAAATCTCCAATAACCAGACTAAATACTGGTGCCAACATATCACAAAATGTAGTTTCAGATAAGGCAAATAGTTCAGAGAGGAAGGCAACAGTTGCTCCATACAAGGCAAAATACATCATTCCAAGCAAGCATGCAATCATACGCAACAATAAATCCATCACCCCAAATCATGTTCACATTTCTGCAACCACGATTCAGGCAGCTTACAGGGGTTATATGGTAAGACAATAATTTAATAGTTTTTAAGTTCTTTTTTTCATAAGATCTCTACTTGAATCTATCCTTGAGGTCAGTGAAGTTAGAAAAATAACAGCACTCGCATGCAAGGAATTATTGTTGTGTTTATGGGACATGTCAAAAAAAAAAAAAGAAACAAGCATAGAATGATGCCCTATTTGACCAAGTTTTTAGCAGTTATTGCACTTTATAAATATGGAACATAATAGGAAAAAAAGCTAAAATGATTAGTACAAGTATCACATACTAACAACTTAGCGAAGGCCTATGATGCTTGAAGACGGTAACTATGTGTGAACCTTCACGTCGAGTCTTCCAAAAGGATAAAAAGGTTTTATCCAAATTTAAGATAAGCAAAGACCATCCTACTGAAGTTTTAGAGAATTATTAGTGACAATAGTCATAAGATGACATAAAAGTTTGATTTGAAATATGACCCACAATATATTGGTATTTGGTTTTGGATGACAAAGAAGTCATTTGTTGCCAAATAGAGCCAGTTTAAAACTATAAATTTAAAATGAATACGTGGTAAAAGTGGTAAAACTAGAAAGAAATATGAGAGAAATTATATTGCTAGTAAGATTGTAACAATAAAACATTAATAAAGATATGATAATTAAAAAAAAAAACAGACATACATTATTTGGACATGAATATTAGAGCATAGGAAATACATAATAAGAAAATAATAGAATTAAAGTGAAAGGATTGGGATGAAAAAGGGACAAACCAAAAGTAGCTTGACCATAAATAGCACAAACAACTTGCTAAGATTAGAGGTAAAACCTTATGTAGCATTCAATGGGAATCAATACAAAAGGAAACATAAGAAGTCAACTTGAAAGATATTATTTGGGACAACTTTCTTAGTGCTTTGCTTTACAGACAGCAATCACAATTTTTGTTTGATCATTATTTTTGTTTCTTTAAAATAAATTTAATACAAGGAAGTTACTTTCTACAATAGCTTTAAAAAGTTACTTTCTCTATAGAAACTTTGAAAGCAGTAAGAAAGTTGTCCCAAATGAAGCTAAGGAAGAAAGAATTAAGGATGACAAAAATGATATTTAATAAATGAACCATACCATAGTAAGTAGTAGTAGTAGTCAGCATGAAAGTAGCATAAACAGGTGCAAATTATTACTTTCATATTTGCTGGTATTAAAATCGTAAATTATCTTGAGTCATCATAATACATTCTAACTTAAAACCATCAAACATCTTGTTACGCATACATACAGTAAAGTAATGAGAATATGATGATGGCACAGGCTAGGAAAAGTTATAAAGCACTGAAAGGTCTGCTACGGCTCCAGAACATGATGAAAGGGCAGAGCATAAAGCGTCAAACAATGAACACAATGAGAAGCATGCAGCTTCTTGTGAGAATCCAAACGCAAATACATGCAGGAAGGCTTCGGATGATAGAAAACCAAAACATCCATCAAAACCAGATATCATGGAGGAGCAGCAAAGAAACCTTCAGCAGCTTAAGCAAGTGGAACGCCACTAATCAAGTAAGCATTAACTAATTCCTACATTTTTTGCTAATCCATATATTTTGAAAAGTACCAAGTACATGTGGAAAATCATACATGCCATACGAATTCCCAGCTAAATCAGCTGATTAATTTGACTCATCTCAACTGTGAAGCATTATAAGGCAATTTCAAATCTATATACTATTATTAAATAGCACTTGTGATTTCACCAAGAAAAATTATAGCCGTTAAAAATTTATCTTTAATTTAAACCATTCATTTGTGCCATAAAAAATTAATTGAAACTTATAAAATAAAAAAATAACATGTTTTTTCTTTTGTTAAGTATATCAAACAAAGAAATACGCATCTTCTTTGAAAATTGAAATTGAGCTTTAAGAAACCACATTAGCAGATTATTAGATCAAAATTGAATTAACTAATACATTGATTAAAAAGTTAAATGGAATTAATCAAATCATTTTATTAATCACATGATTCAAATCACCATATTGAACTAAATCTAACGGAATCAAAGTGCTAAATCAAACATAATTAAATCAAATTAAATCAATACAATTAATAAAGTAATTTTATTATGAACAAATAAATATATTGAATCTAATTGAATGAGATCATAATCTAGCAAATTAAATAAGAAGAAACAACTATAATGATTAAAGTAATTCACTCATTGAAATGTACCAGCAAATCAAGATAATAAAATCAAGAAGGACCATTAAGATCATAACATATAATCTAACCATTAATTAAACAAAACTCGAGCAATTACTAAAAGGCACTCAGTGTAACTTTGAGTCGTGTTTGATTTGAATTGGGCTCAAACTCAAAATACCCAAGTTTAATGAAATTAACTCAAGCTCAACATAACAAACAAAAATTTTAAAATAGGTGAAAAAATGTTCGTTGCAGCTTTCAAAATAAATTTAAATCTGTTATAAAATCCCCAACTTTAATTTTGAAGAAAGATACTAGCCCTTCATTTCTTAATCCCCTATAAAATCCTGTATCAACTTTTATCTAAATATTTATGAGCCAAATCTAAATCAACATAATATATAATGATTCGATACCTTCAGCACAGTAGTTCACAAAGTTGTGCCATCTAAACCAATCGTCTGCCTAAAGTGTTTAGTATATTATTACAATAGATCATGATATTTAGAAACACATCAATTTATTTCATCTCCTCTCATCAGAGTAATCTGTGTAAAGTTGATTTCTTGAATTATAAAAATTTGATGTTTCTTTCGATGCAGAAAAATATATGCTTAAATATAATAAACTAATAAATATGGAATTAAAAAAAATAGGTTTTTAATGAATTTATCATTTGTCATGCGCATTCATTTAAACTAGTACTACAAACGAGGCATACAAAATTTCTAAATCATGAGTATAATCAGCAGACCCCTCTGTAGACTTCTTAAATATTTATCTTCAGCTCTAAACAAATGGCAGAAGGAAACTGTTTACTACCTCTATTGTGAGATTCAGATTTTTCATTAAAATGAGAACTTGCCCAAACTTTTTTATTTCATCCCGTTAATTTTCCTCACTCATATTTTCCTTTCATATTTCCAAAAAAACAAGCATATTAACTTCTATCCACACACTTTATGTTTATGAAACCAGGCCCTTGTTGTTTCCAAAATAAGCAGAACGTGTTGTCAAATTTTCAAAAGCAAGCATCTTTACAAAAGGATGCAAGAAAAAAAGCAATCAAACATGTTTTCCTATACTATTAACTTGTCATTGAACAAACTAAACAACGGCTTGAAAGGATTAGTGTTGCACCGATGAATTTCTAATGAGTTCGACATCATCCAATAGCATGTGTATTATTCATAAATATTAAGAACAATTCCCGACTTACGTAGAACATAATAAAAATAACTGGCATCTTTTCTTAAATGATAAAGATGGAATTAAAAGAAAAAATATGGAATTAAAAGAAAGCCAAATAAAACCTTGATGGCTTGGATCTCTACAGGTATAATAGAAGAATAGATTCGTTACCGAAGTTTAAATATAAAAAGCAAGTCACATTCTGTTACAAAATTAAACCAACTGTTACATCGTTTATAATAAAATCCTAAGAAAACCTACAAAAAGTCACAGACTTTTTTTGGACACTAATGACTTTGATATTGAATTTGGATCAGTTGGACCGAGAAGCTTATAATGAGTGGGATGACAGCATGCTGACAAAAGAGGAAAGGGATGCTAATTTAAAAAGAAAGGTGGAGGCTGTCATGAAGAGGGAAAGAGCGTTAGCATATGCACACTCCCATCAGGTATACTCCACCTCTCACGAAACCAATTGCAAGAGTGATTGATATTTAGGCTTCGTTTGGACGGCTTTTTTACTACTTTTTAAAGCATCTTTTGAGTATAAAAATTTTAACTTTTATACTAAAAAGCTGTTTTAAGAAGAGTAAGAAAACCGTCTCAAACGAAGCCTTAGTATCAATATTATATCACTGTTGGGGAAAGGCCATATTTTCTAACATTATCAGCATTTTGCAATGACAACTGATCTATTGGCATAGTTATGCAGGATTACTAAGACATAAAGTTTACTAATAAGGAAAATACGCTGCATAGTATTTTTTCATGTAAAGAAAAATTAAGGATCCCCAAATTACCAAGTAATCCAGTAACGTTTTTTTAAATGAAAATATATAATAATAGTTTTTAAGCCTAATTTATAAGGAAATGATCTTAAATTTCATAGCATTTTAACAATATTTTAGAAACAACTAAAACCAGCAAACGAATGAATTAATTTAAACAAATTCAGAAATTCAACCTATTTTTTCACCAAAATCAAGACCACTAAAATAGCCCATAACAAATTATGCAGAAGAAACAGATAAAAATGAAATTACTAACGTAGAAACAAATAAGACAACATGCCAATACAAAGAGATGACTTGCTCCGAGTTAGTCATACTTGTACCGCCCTCCAAAGAAGCAATATTCAATTGGCCACACAAGATTAAAAATTTGAAGAGAAATTTTATTCAAGACAACAGTTAGCAGTTGACAGACACATGATCAGTCTCAATTTAAATTCAGATTAATCACAAATTAACTTTTAAATTCCCAAAAGCAGTGGACTGCCCTGCAATATTATTTAAACAATAGTTGTTTAGACGAAGTTTCAAAGCTTTCCAATTCCATCCCTGGGCAGTAAAACCACATTGTTGATAGTCAAGGGCACACTAGGAGGAGGGTGTGAATTAGGAGTGTAATGGGGATATTTGAACTTCTTTTAAATCCACCAATGCAAACCCCCAAAAATAAAATATTAATGAAAGCAGTGTAATTTAAAAAATTAAAAAATAATTTAAATAGAAAATAACGTGTACAACTTTAGGAGATATGATAGGGGCGGATCCAACTTTTTTTTTTAGGGTTGTCAAAAAAAAATTTTTTTGTGGGGATGGGCAAAGACACTTAGGATTAATAAAATTAGGGATTTTTTTTTTTGAGAGGGGCAAAATGCCCAAAATATTCTAAAATAACCCCTCTGAAATTTATTTATTTTTTTGAGGGTAGGCATTCCCCCCCCCCTCTCAAGACATGGAGGATCCGCCCATAAGATATGATCCACACAATATGAATGAACCAATACAAATAAGTGTTCAAGTGAACCAAAAACTTAATGATATACACTAAAAAAAATTAGATCAAGCATACTTATAATCAATTGATCTATCCTACAGGTGTGACACTAAATAAGTTAACTAAACTGTAGGTTAAATACTTAAGCAAATGAGTGAGTGAGTTATGCATACTATTAAGCGTAATAAAAAAAATTAACTGAATTTCATAAGCTATATAAATTAATTCACTAAATATGTAAATTACACAAGTGCTAACAAACAAAATTTAACATAATTTTGAAGCAATTAATGTATGCAACATGAAAGCAATAATGTAGAAACTATCTACTTAAGAAAAAAATCATAATTTTATAACTAACCTCATTTTTCTTAATTAAAATTTTGATGCTGTAATTATCATGTAAAGCCATATTAGTAAATTTAGTGAATACAATCGAAATTTGGGATAAGTGAATTTGCTAACATAAATAAGTGATCAATGATCATATGATGAGCAAACAAAGCACACAATTAATATATTAAATAATAACTAGAACAATTTTCACATACTAAAAAATACATAACAAACAAATTTCTAGGTAAACGTTAAATATATTTTGAAAAAACCTGCTCAATTTTACTAATCAACATCCTTGTTAAGGCTTCATCAAATTATCATGAACAACCCTATGACACATAATAAGCTTTGTAAGCCCTCAATCTTTAGTTTAGTCTCATGATTTACACTGATCATCCTCCCAACAATCTTAATGAAATACAATTTTTATCTTTATGACTACTATAAAAAGAATAATCTATAAGACAATGTTTAAAATTGCGCAATTGGGTGTTGAGGCATTTTTCATTCGAAGATGAGGCATAAGTCTCAAGGTGTGTCTTAAAATTTCAAAATTACGTAAAATGATAATATAAATTAAAAGTGATTTTTTGCATAATAATCAAATAATATGATAAAAGATAACATATTAACATTCTATTGAACTATGAAGTAATAAACTGGCATACATATGAAACAAAAATTGTAGAATACATAACATAGCAACTGATAAATTGTGTGAAATAGAATTGAAATCCAAACACACAAGAGAAAAACAACATAAAATATAGAAATTCCATAAAAATATTATATCAAATTAAGTTCAACGTCAATTTTTTTCTTTCTCAGTTCTCTACTCATCCATATTTAATTTTTTTAAAAAAGCTAAAATAGTATGGTAATAACTTAGAAGTAAAATGCATTGTTATTACTGAGGAATTCTTCATTTGAGTCATCATCTTCATAACGAATTCTCTCCCATGCTTCATCATCTATGAAGTCCAATGCCTCCCAAGCTAGAAGAGTATAGCTACGGTAGTAGTGAATACAATGGAGATGGCATGTTGGAGGTAGAGGCAATCAAGAGAAAATTGTTGTGGCTCGGGAGTACATGGTGTCATTGATAAATAGACTTGTATTAATGAAAAACTACTTTTAGAGCCGGATAAAGTCTGATAAAAACTATTCATTGAGCTGACAACTTATCCAAAGTTCAAAAGCCGAATGACACACCCAAAAAAAAAAAAAACACTCTGCTGATGTATTCTTATATATTATAAAAAGCCATTTTTTAAAAGGGCTAATAATCATAAACTCTAATTAACCAATTATCTAAAGAATTAATCACATGCCTCAGTCTCTACTTTCAATAAGTATGTATGGGATTCAATGACACCTTTTGATTGCCCAGCAGTTGCTGACAACAACGCCCAAGATTGCTCATGCGGCGCACACAGATGCTCGGTCAGGTGGGGCTCCAGTATGGTGGAACTGGCTCGATCGTCAGAACCCCTCGGTATCCCACCACGCCGACACCCCGGCACCGCCGACCCCCAGGCCCTCGTCAGCCGCCACCACTGCCTGCGCCGCTCATCACCGTCCCAGCAGCCGCAGAAAGCAACCAAAAACACCGTTCGATGGCTACACCCCAAAGTTCTCAAGGTCGCTTCACACGCACAATTCATCGAACAGGTGGCAGGCCATCCACTTGAGACCCGCCCTCAGGGACGACGACAGCCTCACAAGCTGCCCGCCCTTCACGGCTCAGCTTGCGCCGTCGGTAACATCAGCGACAGCAATTCCGAATTACATGGCTCCCACAGTCTCAGCTAAGGCGAAGGTAAGGGCCACCGCCATGGAGAGCGGCGGAGGAGCAAAGGAAGGCAAAAGGTTTTCTTTTGCACTGAGCCAGAGCATCGGATCCCTGAGATTGTTTTCTGCAATGAAAAAAGCGGCTCCAGTGGTGCCTACGGCGAAAAAGGCAGGCGGTAAGCACCGGTCGATGATGTCAGTCGGGGAGCTGAGCGTGGATTCCACCGTCTCCCTCCCTGCGGGTTTGGGAAAGAAACCTTACAAGTAATTTGTGCATTATTTATATTTCATATCTATTTTGGATTATTACGTGTTGTCGAAGGTCAATTAAGATGTGTCATATCATCTGATATATCTTAATTGACCTTCGGATAATATCCGGTGATCGCACGTAATAATTTCGCTTTATTTTATGACCTATCGTACCCACTGACGAGCATATGCAATGTGGGATCCCCTTCGATGGACTTCCTTTGGTGTCCAATGACATGGATTATGTTTTTAAATGTTTTTCTATCACTTTTTTTTTATTTGGATTTTATTTCTATTTTTTCAATTTAACAAATGATTTTTTTTTAATTCCTTGGTGTTATTAATTATTTTTCCCTTGTAAATTTTCTGATTGGCTTGGGAAGTTTTTATTGTTGGATTAAGGTAAAGTTTAGCTTAGCAATGGCAATGCATGCTTAATAGTAATTATTCTAAATTTCAAACAATCAAATTGCAAAATTTCTTTTTTTTTTTACGTTTTATTATAAGATTTAATATATTACTGTCAAAGAATACATACAATTATACCGAGAATAATAATTTAATGAAATTTAATGCATTAAAGTAATTATGAGACATCATGTGTTAATTTTTCTAATTTTCCTAATGCAAGGTTTGCTTAAAGATATTTAATATGAATATCATGTATTCAGTTCAATTAGATGATACCCTCTTAAAATTAGTTTTTTTGATTTAATCTCATCATGACCATAATTTACATTCATTAATACCAACAATAATCAAGTCATTAATAAGTATTTGAATGGATTTCATGAAGAACTTTTTGTGCATAATTAGCTGCCATTATCTTGAGTTAATAAAATGTCGTGTTTTGTGCTAATTTTGGCATGCCAACATATACGGATGCTACTTTGATTTGTGTATGAAAAACTTTTGAATATCATTCCTTAGTTTTTTTTTTTTTAATATATATTGCCATTAGATTTTAACCTGAAACTTTGCAACACTTGATCCTTAAACTTGGTACTAATTTTTTGCCTCATATTTGTTTACAACGATTCAAGTGACTCCAAACACTACTAGAAAGTTGAATTTTTCGCACCAATTGCTAGGAGCGGTTCTAGAACTGCTTCCAAAAATCCCTTTTAGCACCGGTTTTAACCGGTGCAAATAACTCCTTATTTACCCCCGCAAAACTCCACCAGTTGCACTAATTCCTAGCACGAACTAAACTTCGCGATTCATGTCCGATCCCGCTCTTCTCCTTACGTTCTTCTCTTTCCTGCGCGCGACTCAAGCGGAGCATTCGAGAGTTCGTCTCATAGGTCAAAAATAGTGCTGCAGTAGCCCCATTTTTTGATAGTGAAAGAAGAGTATATTGATTCTTGCATATGTACAATAACGTAGATTTATCTCTTGCTTTATTCCATTCTAATTTTCATTATTTGCGACTATCTCTTAAAGAAGATATCATTCAGCCAACTTGATTTCAGTATGATGCTTTCATCAATTGCTTACTCATCTGCTTTTGCCTTCAAGTGCAAATATAACAGCTCTTAAGGAGCATAAAATTTTCATTTTTCTCATGATGGAAATGGCCTTCATCCCTTCATGTTTAATTGAGAACTCTAACAACTATTTATAGTTGGCATTTCAAATTTTGTCATAATGTTTCATTTGTCAATAAAGTGTTATATTTTATTTTTAATATTAAACTTTTTTTTATCATATAAACATTTTTGTTACTTTTTTTAAAAAAAATCTAATAGAATGCACACAATATATTGATTTAATTTTTATAACTCTATTAAAATAAAAGATTATGAACTTATATTGAAGCAAATGAATAATAATATAATTATTTTTGCTAATAAATTTATTAATTCATGTAAGTAAATAAATGTAATTATCTATTTTTATAATATTTTCTTTTATTTTTAAAAATTTATTCAAGTGCATTTTATGCATGTGCAATTTTACTTGTTTCTTTAAATATGACTATTATGAGCATCAAGTCATCTTTTAAAAAATATATATATATTCTTTTTATTAAAACACTATTAATTCAACATAATTATTGACCTTTCAAATGATCTCCTCTACAAACCCATTATATGATATTAGTTTGAAATCAAATATTATGATGGTACATTAGTTTGTGGTAATATTGATAAAAGGCTAAAAATAATAATAACAACAAAACTCTTTTTTTTTTTTTGTATTGTTTTTTCAACCTTTTTATTAATATTTTTGGAAATAAAAATTTAATATTAAAATTTTGACAATAAACTTTAGGGGAAATTTTAAAAGTAAGCATTGTTAATAAACAAATTATGTGATTAAATATATTAAAAAAAAAGGTATAGTCGCACATTTAAGATTTTCTTCTTTTATTTTGATTGCTGATGAGAAACTGATCTATTTGAGATGCCCCAAAAAAAGTTTATCCAGTAAATGTAATGGAAATCGAGGTGTTCTGGTGATCTACTTGTTCAAAAACATCCTGTAAATTATTTTTTTTACATTTTTTTAAAAATATAACTATGAATTTTAAAAAAACTGTAAAACATAATGGAATATTATGCAAGTCGTCCGTTTAACAGGCAACTTACTACATTGTTTTAATTTTTTATAATGTTGATTGTTAAACTGACAGTTGTCTATTTTTAAATTTTGTTTAAACATATTTAATCATTTAATTTATTTATTAATCATACTTCCTTTTAAAATTTGCCCAAAATTTTAATGTTTTTAATAACTAAATTATTCGGGACGCGCAAACAGAACTAACGTGAGACAAGCTTCTGACGCACAGCTCTCCTAGGCCTATTAGTTGAGAGCTTAGGCTTTCAACTAATAGGTCTAGGATTTGAGTTTATGTGTATGCATTGTGTGTGTGAGTTTGTCTTAAATGACATAAAATGTTAAAAAAAAAAAAAAAAAAAAAGCTTCTGACATGTTTAACGGTCTCAAGGGAACAAAAGCATTTATCAGTACGAAAAGCAAATAAAACAATTAGAAGTAGCCGTTGAGTTCCTTTGTCATCAACCTGCAACGGTCACTTTCTCCATCCCCTTCCTCTATAAACCCACCTTCACACTACTCCATTCCTCACAATCCTCTCTCTCTCTCTCTCTCTCTCCCTCTCTCTGAGAATACTCTCCATCCACCAAATGGCCATTCCCATAACCTCATTGTCCTCTTCCGCCTCCAGCCGCCACCACACTCACCAGGCCTACCTGCTCACCAACTACCTCCTCATGGGCGCCGCCTCAAGCTGCATCTTCCTCACCCTCTCCCTGCGCCTCCTCCCCTCCCCCTGCGGCCTCCTCCTCATCTCCCTCCACTCCCTCACAGCCATCGCCGCCGCCTCCGCTGCTGCTTCCCCTGTGGCTTCCTCCGACCGCTCACATGCAGCCCACACCGCTGCCGCCGCACTCACAGCCATCTTTCATGGCGCCACCGCCCTCCTCGCCTTCACCCGCTCACCTGATTTCATTGCCGAGATCCGCTCGTACGTCAGGGAAGACGACGCCATTGTCATCCTCAAGCTGGTTGGCGGTCTCTGCGGAGCCATATTTTGCTTGGAGTGGGTGGCTATGGCCCTCGCCTTTGCGTTGAGGTTTGATGATGGCGAAGACAGGGATTGCAGCACGGAAAAGCGAGTCGGGTACTTTGGGGCTTACCGGGCTTAATTAGGGGAAGCACAAGTGGAAGCTGTGGTGGAAATTTTTTTATTTTTTTATTAATTGTTTCTATCTGTAGCTGTTTGAAGCTTTTAATGGCAGTGGCCTCTGTTTTTGTTTGATAAATTCAGAATATTATCTATTGATGTATTCCAAGCAAGAAAGAGAGATAATTAGTGTTGATAAGAACTTACTTCGGACAAACTAACTGTAATACTTGAAGATTTCGGCTTAGACTCATACTTAAAATTAAAAATTAACATTTGCCAATTAACTTTTGAATTGATTAAATTTTGCTAATTAAGAGAATTTTTAGTTCGAAACAATTTTCGATCGATCAAAGATAATCAAATTGAAATAACTAAATTTTATAATGAATGCTTTTATTTTTGAGAAAATTGGTGTGAAATAACATATATGAAACAATCTTCAAGGTCTAATTTTGTTTAATTTTGTTAACTTAAAATTTTCGAGCAAACTAATCGAGTTTTGAATAAAATTTTATTCAGACTATTGGGAGTGTCAATATTCATATGAAAATTCTATCATTGAGGTTGCACAAATAGTTATCTTGTATGAATTTTTTTTTTAATTTTGTTTGTTTTTTTATATGACATACACAAGACTCGAACCTAAGACCTTTTAATCTAAGCCCACAATCAATAAACTAAGATGTGTTGTTTATTTTGCTTGGTTTGAAAATCAATTAAATTTTTAGTTTGTTTTTAGAAGTTTGAAGCAAATCTTGAGATGCGCATCGGTTTATTTTGAGCAAAACTAATTTCAAGACTTTTATTTTTATAAAAAATAAAACACAAATACATAAATTTTGATAGAAATTTTGAAAACTCCCGATATTCTAAAACTATGACAATGAGACCTTACAAATTTTTATTTATTTCGATCATTGTGATTTTGAAAGAGAAATTTGAATTCATATACCAAAATGCTGAATCACAAATTATTATTATTATTATTATTTAATTTGTACGGATCAAATTTGATTCAAATAGCATTCAAAGATTAATGTTTAATTAAAATTCAATAAAGGCTGAATTACATATTTGATAAAAATTATATCCATGACCGAACATTCTTCGAATCCTAACCAAATATTAATTATTCTAAAAAAAAAATCAATCAAAATTTGAAAAAATTCCAATAAGACATTATTCTAATAATTTATAAAATAGTTGGATTATATATTTGCTAAATGTTCAAGATAGCACAAGAAATTCAGAGAGTAATTAATATTATTATTGATATATCATCATAAATTAATCATGATTGGGCACGAATCTCAAGGCCAAATAAAATTGTAAACTTTCAAAATTAAGTTTCAGGACCATCCGAAATCTGATTTCTATAAACTTGTAGTCGAACTGAACATCTCAAAAAGACTAAGCTAACGACACCAAATTCGACATAATCCTAGCCCAAATAGGTCTAAATCGAAGACCCGAAGCGCATTTGGAAGATTCAAATCATAAATTTGATCACCAAACGGTTTCCAAACATGACATGACATGCTTATAGTTCAGTTGAGCGGCTCGACGAGACAAATCCAATGATCCCAAGATTGTTGAATTTTGACATCATTAAGACACTCAAATACTCGATAAACAATTCATGATCAAAGGAGTTGATATCGGATGTCCATTCAAAAGTTACACTCCTAACATGCCCTTGATCTCCTCCATATTTATTGGTCATGCCACTCCAAAAAAATTATAAATAAACTCTTCATTCTTCATTGAGGGGGGAGGAAGCAGGGGAGCAAGAAAAAGAAAGAAAAGATGAGAGAAAAAGAAATATGAGATATATCTTACCATCAAGCTCCTCCTTGCCCACCGCCTGACCACCAACTATCACTGAACTTCTACCCAACCATCGTCACATGCCAACTACAGACTTTTTGACCTCAATCTCCATATAATGGTCTTTTTGACCACCGTCACCTACCAACTACGGTCATTCTGACCTCCATTGCTAAACTACAAACTTTTAGACCTTCGCCGTCTAATAAATATAATGACTTTGCTAATGAAATTGTCAATATCATGTATTTTGGCAATGATGATCTCTATAAGATTTGGGAATGACTACATTGTAGACTATCCATAGTAAAATGCCTGTTCATTATTATTTGTTATATTCATCACCAAATGAATTTCTCAATACTCTTGCAGAGTGATATCATCCAACAACAACTAAGCAAAATTTGGACTCTATACAAAATAAGATGAGACAACATACTAATTGGCATCATTGTAAAATAGAGTTTAATGTCAAAGATATGCTTTGGCAACATGAAAAATGTGTCAAAATATTCAAATAATCTTGAATTAGATTGATTCGACTTTATATATCTCTTCTCTTTAAGGAATTTTGAGTCGTTGTCAGCAAGTTTTTAGAGAAAATATTCAAAGGATTTCCATTAAACTTTAGGACAGTGAAAGCCAATTTTCATCTATGTCACTTGAAGCTATATTAGACCCCACATATGCTCCAGTCTTTGCACCAAAGCTTCTAAATGCCAGATCTAAAGATGCCACTGGATCCGCAACACCCATACAAACGGATAGAATGCTATATCTCTATAATAACTTCAATCTATATATTAAAAAAAAACATGCATATGCACCGAAAAATAAGATATATTTGCAAACACCAAAGTTTGATAATGTTATGCAGGTCAAATATTCAAGTTTCATCATCCTTCATAGAAGGATTGGAGTCGACCTGACTTGAATCATAAAATGCCTCTCAAATTCTTACAAAAAAAAAGATTTTTAATATCACCCCGATGATGATCATATTGAATATCAACCAGATTGGTCAAATCTCAAATCCAATAAAAGTTTAAATCTTTAAAATAAAATATATCACCTTAAAAATTTTATAACTAAAACTCATCCACCTCTCACAACTGTTTGTTGGGATAATAAATTTGAAATTAACTTTAGCTCACAAAGAGCAAATGTCATGTCAAGTGTATCACTAAAATTCATCCCTCAAATAGTCTATTGCCAGTAGGGACGTAGCACGTGCCCTTTAGTTGGGTGATATTGCCGCAAAATGGCACAATTATATTACGATCACGGTCAAAGCCCATATGTTCCCTAATGTCGTCAAACCCTTCAGGAATGAATCATAGGATATATTCGATAGGCATAAAGCACTCTATCACCTAAGGTGGATTCAGATCTATGCCCATAAACAAACACCACAACAGGGCCACAAGGTATTCTTGTACGAAGCAACCATGGTTGCCAATAAGATACCTTATGTTAGGTTGGGTCGACTACCTCATCTAATTAAGTATACTATGAACCATGATAACCCAGGACGACGAAACCATGAGATCTTGATCGGGCTCGTATTCATTCCCCCAAACATTAATTTTAAGTTTATGGTGATAAAACTTTAAGTCTCAGACTCCAAAATTCATATCCCAAATCCAAACCCTAAGACAATTGTTATTATACACTGGATGCATGACCTATGTGACCTCTTTAGTGACTAGCCTTAATAAAAAATCATCTCTCATAATTGAGAGGAGTAATTAAGATTTTAATGAGAAAACATTAAACATATTGCTTAGAAAACATTTTGAATATTTAGAGTAATGCCTAAATATAATCTAAAATATTTTATAATATCATTTTGTTTTAATGAAAAGAGAATTTATTCTAACAAAGAATTTATTCCAACAGTACATGGGATATGCAAACAAGTCCAACTACAAACCAAACATCACAACACATGAAGGTCAAAACCACTAAGAACAGACAACCAACATAAACGAGAACATTAATAAACCAGTCGGGCTCAATTAAAGGCGGATCAACTGCAACCAACCAAAAAATGTAGGCAGTAACCATCCAGAGGAGGAATAAACACCAAGCCACACAACTGAAGTCACAACTAAGACAAGCAAAGCCTCATAGCCCACACTAACCACCAATGGTTGCCAACAAGCCAAGCCGTCATGAATGAGAGCATAAACCCGCCACATCTTTGCCTGGGCCAAAAAACACCCCCAGCCGCACAATCCACACCAGTAAAAGCCAAACGAAAAACCAAACAACCAAAAGGAGAAACCAAATCCGACACAAGCCTCAAGAAGCATGACCTAACCGGAAGAACAAGAATTCTATTTGGATTTCCTTCTTCGACGCTTACCACCACTAATGGAAATAGTTTTTTTAAACAGGATGACTCACCTACAAACTATATAATTCATGAAAATCATCAAGCGTATCAACCGAAATACCCCCAACCCCATCCCCACTATTAGATGAATTATCCAACCAATCATCAATATGATCAATAGTGGAATCCAACAATTTGTTAGCCACGTGCGCTTTTAATGCGTCGTTTGAAATTAGAGAGGCCGACACATCCACGAGTTGAACAGGCGCAGACGCATTCAATGCTGAATCCAACACAGTTAAAGAAGTTTCAGATGAAATACCCAACTTAAAAGATTCAACAGACAACACCTTATTAACATCACATTGGCCCACCAACACCTCCAACGGGTTAGCACAGAGACAAAACCATTCTCAACAATAGTAGGTGACACAAACAGATAGCAATCCGCAAGAATAGGAACCCCCACCAGAACAAGAGAGTTCAGAGCATCCTCAACTGCCACAGGAATCACAACAAAACCATCAGCAATACCCACATCCGGTACAACCAAAGGTTCCAACATAGAAACAGGTCGATGAACATTAGTATCGACAACAGATAACTCAGAAATTATTTCATCGACCTTATTCACAACAACAGGTTCTTTAGCCAAATGGAGATGAAGGATATGACATTCAAATTTCAAGTGCCCAAAAGACTTACAATGAAATCAATAAGCAAAAAATGCCTCCATAACCATCGATTGAATGTAGCCCAAATTCTCCAGACCAACCTAAACCTTATCGGGAAAAGTTTTAGTAACAACCAATTCAACTAAGAGACGAGCAGCCGAAGGCCTACAGCCATATGATGTTGCATGGTCAATTTTAAGGGGATGACCAAACATGGAACCCAGCCCATGAAGAATCCTTAGAGAAAATATATAGGGTCTCAGATTGGGAAATGAGACCCAAATAGGAATAATGGAGGATTCAATCTCAACATCAAATGAAGGAGAGCACTTAAAAAGCTTCATGAAGCTGTTGTTCACAAAATAGTAACAACAAAAAAAAAACCCAACAGTAATCCAAATCATTAACCAGTTTGATCAACACATGCTTAGGATTTAGAACAGTAACCGAAAATTCACCATTAAGCTTGAGGTTGAAAAAAGTTGCGAATAGCCTCAAGTGAAGGTCTACGAGAAGGAAATTTGCCAACTAAAGCGAACTCAAAAGATGTCGCAAGCGCCAAAATTTCTTCTTCCTAAATCCATAACGAGGGCATCCCGCGATGAGACGAGATTTTGAGGTCTAGGAAAGTTAACGAAAAAGAGCTACTAGATAAAACATCACAAAAAAACTTAGAAGAGGAATTACCAGCCAAAAAGCCGAGATCGACCAGGCTATTGCCCTCCATCGACAAAAGATTACGACGGCAAATCAAAACGACCCAAAAAAATCCGAACAACGCTAAAAAAATTTGGCAAGAAACTTCCCTGGGGAGGGAGGAGCCGCTGGAGGCCACGGACAAGTGGAGAAGAAAGTTCTGCTGGAGAAGGAAACCTTAGCAGAACACATAATATGCTTCTTTTACAATATTTTATAATATCATAGAGCCATCAAAAGGTTCTAAAAGGACTTGGAATAAGACTAGATCCCGCTAAAGCTTTCTTCGATCCGCATCCTTAGCATAGATTTTTAGCTTAGTTGAAAGTGTTTAAGGTTAGGAGTTAAATAAAGAATTATGTCAAAAATAATTCTGAAATTTATTAACATACTCATTTGTTGTTTGATAAATAACTAAGAATTAAATCAAATGCTCATTTAACTATTGATCAACTGCTTTATTGATGAATTATTCTACGTTCTTACATCAATTTATCTTATGCACATAAAAAATTATGCATATATCGAAGGTAAAAATATCATAAAAATATAAAAAAACGTAGCTAATTATATAGATTAAAATTTTATCTTATTAGTACTTGAACTTAACGAAATAATTTAAATAATCCTAATAGATTTGAGCCAATTTTCATTAAAAATAGCCATTACAATCGGAATAACCAGAAAAGTAGTGTTGAAAAGCATGAATTAGGGGGGTCAGTTGTGCAAAATTGAGCATTCATGGCATAATTTATGACACACTAATTTCAAGTAGAAACAGGCTGAATATAATATCTAAATCAACAAGAATATACAATTAGATGATCAAGAAGAAAGGCAAGTGAGGTTTGAAGGTATTGCACCAGCAGCAGAAAGCTCGTCATGAACCAAAATGAAAAATGTGAGAGGTCTTTCCTTTTCCCACTTATGCCCAACTTCCTGAATAAAATGAGAACTGATTTTAGAGGTATGACATAACTGTAAATAGATTTTATGGTTCCAAATTAGTAAAAATAATCAGGTTGAAGGGGCAATCTTTATATTAAAATAAAAAAAAAGGATTTTCTTTATTGTTCCTCTCAACACAAAAGAGAACATTGGAATGGCATTCGATGACAAAGAGCAGCAAACCAATCAAATGAAAGGATAATTCATTAATTGAAGAAGAGACATTACCCATGGTCTTCTACTTGTTCGTCAGAAACGATAAACAGTAGGGCTTGTGCTTCAGGTTAAGGTACGCTTGTTAAATGATTCCACTGTTAAGTTTGCTGTGAAGGCAGGAATTGAGTTCATCTTTCGTACAAATATATCAACCTGAGAAGCAATTAAGATCAGTCTGATGCATCATATTTGAATATTTGGAGGCCTCAAAACAACGGCAAATTATTAGATCCGGTCACCGGACGTAGAGATATGTCCGGACACCAATAAAATATTATTTTAAGTCAAGCGTGTCAAAAGCGCAAGTAAAACACAGTCAAAGCGCAGTCAAAAAGCGCAGCCAAAGCGCAGGTAAAGAGCAATCAAAGCGCATCTAAAGCGCAGTTACTGTGCAGTCCACGTGGTAAGTTTTTATTGGATGTCCGGACCTATTTTTAGGTCCGGTGACTGGACCTAATAATTTGCCCAAAACAACAATGGTCATGCCACCAAGCAGAAAAGATTTCACAGAGCATCATAAAAAATATTTAATCCAAGGCTTTCATCATATTTAAAAAAAAAAACAATTGTAAACACCTGGTCGTGATTTCAAAAAGTGGGATCTGAACTTAACAAAATTTTCTCTATTTTTTTTTCTAGTTGTAATATGCTACTAAATGACTGTAATAATGCATTTAATAAATCTTTAAACAATTCCAAACAATGAGAGTTTTCACATACCAATTAGCATTCTAACCCATTTGCATTAATTTAATATCCATGCATTATAGGCCATTTTCCTATTCTTTCAAGTACAAAAACTATGTTGTGGATGGCATAAATAGAAAAGGGAAATAAGGAAGAGACCCAAACCATGCACTTCTTCATTAAAATACAATACCCTCAACTACTATTTTAGAATACTGAAGCACACAATTCAGCATTTCAGAGTTTCTTTTTTACTTAATGCCCAAAACAAAGCAATCCTTTTTACGACTTAGAAAAATCATGACTTATATATCATGTGTGCATATATTTGTGCATGCTATAGTCATATAACTAATCAAACTTAAACCAAAGAACTAATTTTCAAGGAATAAAACGATACAATTAACAAAAGTAATTATCAGTTAATAGAAAGCTAAAACAAAAGAAACAAATATACAAAGAATGAAGTGATGAAAGAATACCTAAAAATCAAGAATACTCATGAGATTGAGAGATCATTTATAATAGACCCAAAGATAGAGGCAGCATGAAGCTAGAGAATGAAGACGATGCATAAGAAAGCACGTATAGGATATACATCAAGAAAATGTTTGTGATAAAGAAGCTACTAACGCCGGTAGCGAGAAGCAATGAGCAGAATATAAGAAAGCTAGTGAGCAATAAAGCGTGAAAAGAACAATAAAGAAGTGACTAGCCCCAATTGGAGAGAACAGAGAACCAACCAGCAACAAATCAACAACTATAAAAACCAATGAGGATAAAAAAAATGTGTAGGCACTAATTACTGTGACATATATTAAACTAGAGCAAAAAATTAGAGCAAAGATTTTATTTTAAGGCAAAGCCAAAACTGAAAGTACAGCACTACGATGTGATGCAACAAAGTGATAGCATGCACAATTTGCTGCAAGCTTCTGCTTCACAGGAAAGTGATGGACTGGACCATTGCTTCGCTTCACTTCAAAAGCTTTCTTTTAATAACACTATCCTCTACATAACTTGCCGCAAACTGATCTCATACTTCATCATCTTGATTTACCACACATAAACCTTATCATTCTCAATCTTCGTACATTCGCTTAGTCCTTGTTTTTCCCGAATTCATTTTTATAAAACAAGTGTTCTTTTTTCCCTTGAAAATTTGTGAAGAACCATTGAATTTTAACAGCAATCAGAGTATTCACAAACTCCAAAGATCTCTTAAATTCACAAAAAACATGTACTCATCACACTGGAAGAAAACGCTTTCTTAAAGTTAGAAGAAAAACAATAGTAACAAAAACTTTAACGCCAGCTTCAACGACTGGAATTTGAAGCAAAAGCTAAAAGAGATATGCCAGGATAACTGAAAAGTAGTGGGAAATTTCACTCGAAATGGGCAAAAGTATAAATTTACTCTCATTTCATGCTATTGATTAAAAGTATAAAAGACCACAGGTAATCTGACAAATTTGACAGAATTTCAAAAAAGGCTGAGGGACAATTGTTGCTTCTTGTACTAGGTGCATAACCAACACTGAATCTACCTACTAATTGGATATTCAAATTTGGAAAACCTGGTAGATACCTGTTGATCTATTTCCCTCTGAGAAGTGTAGTCATTGACCTACATCAGAAGAACATTATGTCAATCCTAAAAGGATAGCGCTGTCATAATAGTACTGATTCATTGAGAGAATATTTTACCAGAATGGTTGCATTTCCGGATTCATAGTCAAACTCAAGTTTTTCATCATCATTCTGTGCATAAATAGATTGTAAAGTAAACCGCGTCACAGGAATCCCATTAGGACGTTGTTGATCATCCATTACAATCTAGAAAGCCGAAATCCTGTCGTTATATCTTACAGGCTATCAACAAATATGCAGAATACAATTGTAGAAAATTTTGAAAATAGAAAAATTTTAACTCCAAATTGCACTATTGCAATAAACATTTTTTATGCTAGTAAAGAGGCATAGAATCAGGGTTGTCAAAAGGCTCAGACTAACTTATTAGCTGTCCTTTAAAAGCCGTGAGTGGAATATAAGATTAGGGCCTGCATAGGCTATGAGCTGGCCTGTATGCCTGTTTACATTTAATAAGTAACCTTCATTATCAATTTTACAATATCATCCTTTTAGAAGGCGCCAATGATTGAAAGTAGGAAGGATCCCTAGCTTCCGACTGCCATTAACCTCCCTAGGTCACACTGTTGTGGATCTTGACTTCCTTAAATTTCTAAAAATGCTTTAATAGGCTACCCAATCAAAGAGCTTAATTCGCCAGAACAGGCCCGAAACAAATTCACTTTTTCAAGTATATATTAGAAGGGTGATGTAGATAAGGATAATTGGGTATTAGGTGAACGAGAGAGAAAGAAGATAAGAGGAGGATTCAATTTTTAACTCATCATCAATGGAACAAATGAAAGTCAAGAATATCCTATTTATAGACAGGTACTACAATATAAGATCAAAATAAATTGAATTCAAACATAATCATAAAAAACCTTAACCTAATTTCTTTTACTGCATCAACTCCCCTTAGGGTTGGCAAAACTCTTCCCCTAAACTTTGACAAATATGGAGTTTTGACCATTTTAAACGTCCCTTCATGAGTGGAAATGCATTAGACATGATACTTCCCTTGCAATTTGTAACCACACTTGGCCGAACCTTGTATCCTCCATGCAGACATAAAGTTTAATGATTTCTATCTCCTAATACAATTATAAAACAAACGCATTACATCCCCAACTCCCATTTAAGTTCACAAATTACAAACATATTAATAACTTACATCAATGACACCCCAACAGGTGACAAAAACAAAGACTACACTGTCACACCCCAGTTTAGCCCTCCCTCCCAATGGTCAATCTGAAGTATAAAAGAGAATAAAATAAATCTAATTAGACTCTCATAATACTTCAGCATATCAACTTCACACTTAATAATAGGAAGCATATAATGTGCCTCAACGTTAAAAAAAGATAGAGGTAGACATAAAAAAGACTTGGTTTGGAAGTATTAAAATGAGAAATTGCCTCTTAATAGGGCAGAATAGTGAAAACAATTACTGCTGACCCCATATAGTGAGATAAAAGCTTGATATTGTTGTTGAGTTATCTTGAAATAAAGCAATCTTTAAAGATCTTCACTTGTTTGATTAATATGTCTGGCCTACCTATCAAGAGACCTCAAATTAAGCTTCTTAATTATTCTATAATAATTTCTATCACACCCAATTTTGGCCTCCTTACAGTCAACACAGAGTGTAAGAGAAAAAAAGAATCTGAAAAGACATTCTTATCTGCACCCATTCTGAATTACATCTATCAAAATTAGAGAGTAAGAAATAGTTTATTCAGAATATTCCAACATATCAAGCTTTATACTTTAACAACATGAAGCATGTAATATACCTCAAATAAATTGCACATCTCAGGAGAAATACATAGCTTTACTAAAACTTTAAAAATTTACTTACACATCCAAAATGTTGTATAGCTCCTACTCAAATATCTTTCTACCCCCAAAAAATATATGTACACAAAAGAGTAGTCAACTACTCTGACTACTACCCCACTGGCTCATTCCCATGCATGTAGTGCAACCACTCCTAATGAGTCGAGCTCAATAAAATATGCAATCATTGTATAAAAAATAGTAATCAATACATTGATAATTAAATTAAAGCACATGTAAGTTCATAGTAGTCATAACACTTTCATTAAATTTCTTTCTGTTCTGTTTATTGATCAACCCTTTATACAAGCCATATGATGGCTATGAATTTTTGCACATTTTCAACTTTGCAATTTAAGATTATATCTGAATTCCTAACTTTTAGAATTAAAGTTACTCTCTCATTCAAGGTTGGATCCGAATTCTCAACTTTTAGAATTTTGAGAGTGTAGCTTACATCGGCAAGTCTTTCGCCTTTACTTGTGCGGGCTTATCCCCTATATATGATTTATTTTATCTTTCCAATACCATTTAGTTTTAACAATCATAAACATAATAATGAATAAATAATTACATAAATAAACTGAAATTAGAATGCTATCATAAACATAACAGTTATGAATTTACAAATATATAAAATTTCTATTATTTCCTATGCATTATTTGGGTATCCCACCTCACTTGGAATTTGCTTTTCTAGGTTCTATTTTCTTCTCTTTTTTACACCACATAAAATATGCATTTTTTTATTTACGCGTGCTTATAAATAAATGAAACAACAATATGAATATCTTACGAATTATCTCAATTTTAACTACATTGTTTTCATTCAATTCAAAAAAAAATTTCCTGTCCTAAACTTCTTTCCCTACAACCCTTCCATTCTTTTCTATTTTAACAACAACCGCCCCTAATTAACAAAAATATCAACAAACAACAATATACAAAATTTCAACAACTAATCTTACCTGATTTCCACTTTTTTTTCTTCTATTTCCTTGTTGATTTCAATTATAATAGTTGATTGCATTGACTATAGCACCAATAGTGTTACCTAATTAAGCAGCCAATCCTCATTTCATCCCCTCAACCACTATTTTTATCAACAATGCAGTCTTTCATATTTCAACAAACATTCTCACTGATTTCCACCATTACAAATCTCCGCACACATTAAATTCAGCAACTATTAAATTTAGCAAGTATTAAATTCTACTGATTTTGCAGTCCTAAAAATTTCTTCTTAAATTTCTTTACCAGTAAATTCCTCAATAGCCCGTTGCAACTCTGCCTCCTCCAGCTCCCCCCTCTTCCTTTGCCTGCTGCTCTCGGCACAGCAGCTGGTTCCAATTCCAGGAAATGTCATCAATGGGATGCGTGAAATGAGTGGAATGAAATGCCTTAGTTATAAAAATGAAACTCCACTAAGCTTATAACAGAAATTCAACTAAGCAATATAATATTCATTCCTAATTCCACAAATTTACTCTCAAACTCTACTCAGTACCCATCTGTTGATTTCCTACATCTTGAAATCAGCCCATTGCATGCATGGCTAAGTGTCATGGCTATAGTAATAGGAATATATAAATTAAGAGTGAATTAACTTAGATTAATTTCAAAATTTACTATTAATGAATTATGAAATATGAAATATGAAAAAGTTATTACTCTAATATATATATATATATATCCGGACCAGCCGATTCAACTGTGAAGTGTGAACCGGTCAGAAGACCGGTCCGGTTCAGTCTTAAAATCGCTTCTGCATCGAATCGGACTGAACCGGTCAGAACTGCCAGTTCAATCGGCGAACCGGCCCAGTTATTTTTTAACCGGCTGGTTCAAATCCTACAAATTTTAAATATTTTTTTAAAGAAATAAATAAATATATATACTTCAAACATTTGACTAAAGTTATAATACATTTTTTATTATAAACATTTTTGCCCTCAAACCATCATGAAACATCTTCACATGACCCCTCCATGTGAGCTCTTTATGCAAGGAAACTCAAAAGGCTATATAAACAATAGCAAAAAAGTGTTTCCAAGGGATGTGGGACTAAAGAAAAGAGTTGAAGAGTGTATGAGATCATAGCATATATAATATGTCTATTAAACATAATTTTAAACAAGATTTTTTAATTAATTATTTTTATGTGAATGATAAATTATTTATTAGTTAATAATAAAAATTTTTTTTTTATACACTATAAAAATTAATTATCATTAATAATTTTCTCTTTTATTTACCTGCCTTTCAGGTCGCCAAGTCCTGAATGAGAAAAGTGGAGGGTTGCGTAGGTAGGACAGCCAAGCGTAAAACTTGTCGAACACATATGACATGAATCTTTAAAGAAATTGTGTTAAGCTAGGATTGCGTCCCTGGAAGCGCGCGCTGTTTATGGCTGAATACAGTGACAAGTTGCACTGTGCAAGGCCGCTGCAACCGGCGCCGGGTGCAAGTGTTAATAGGCAAGGGTTCCCACATAAGGACAGATGGTGGGCAAAGAAGCTAGTTCCATGAAACTAAAAATTAGGCATAGGAACTTGGAATATAGGTTCCTTACAGGAAAATATAATGGAATTAATAGATATTATGATTCATAGAAGTTTAAAATATTTTATGCATATCGAGGAAACTAATGGGTTGGAGATAAGGCTAAGGAATATGATAGTTACGGATTTAAACTTTGGTATCGGGTAGGAGTCGTACAGAAATGGTGTCGTGTTATAATGATAAGAGTTTAAAGGATAATGTTAAAATTAATGGTATTAGAGATAAAATTATAGCTTTAAAGATTGTTGTTGATGATAAGATTGTTAATATTGATAGAGTGCTTATGCTCTCAAGTGGTTTGGATATAAGTTAAATTAAATTTTTTGGAATGATTAGAAGAATTAATACAAAATATAACCTCTTGAAGAAAGAGTTTTTATTAGAGGAGGATTTAAATGGACATGTTGGTAGAGGAGGTAGAGTGATTTTAAAAAGCATCATAGGTGGCATGGATTTGGAACCGACGAATGAAAGTGCAAACCCAAAAATATGGACTTTTTGTTAGCTTATGATTTTTTATTGCAATATCTTTTTAAGAAAAGAATGACATCTCATCAACTTATAAAAATGGATTTAATCATACACCAGATGACTATTTTCTTATTAGAAATTAAATCGTTAAAAATTGCAAAGATTGTAAAAGTTATTCCGAGTGAAAATTTTATGTACCAACATCGATTATTAGTTTGACTTTAAGATTAATGGGCATAAATAAAAAATAAAGTAAAACAATTTTCTAGGATTAAATGGGGGATAAAAGAATATTAAAAAAATTTTTTGGAAATAAATTTAGTCTTAAGATTTGTCTGTGCATGAGGAATGCTAATATTATTGTGGGAAAAAGTGGGCTAGTGATATTAAGAATATTGCAAAAGATGTCCTTGGAGTACAAAGGGAAAAGCTCCCTAATAGTAAAAATAGTTGGTCGGTGGAATCCTAATGTGCAAGAAAAATTAAAAATAGAAGCTTTGTTATAAAAATTGGTCTTATTTTTTAAAATTCTAATAATTGGGTCAATATATAAAGTGCTCGTAGGATGCTAAAAAGCAATAATGCGTGCAAAGGCAATTAGCTTTTAGTGATTTAATAATAGATTAGATACTAAAGAGGGGAAGATGATACTTTATAAGTTAGCCAAACAAAGAGATAGTGAGTAGTAGGATTTAAGTTCAAGTGAAGTGTAAATAAAGATGATATCAAAAAATACTTTCTTAGAAGATGATTCAACAAAGATGGAGAGATATTTGCTAAATCTTTTCTAATGAAGATTGTGAAAATAATATTGACTATAGTGACCTTAGGACCTAGATGAAAATAAGATTTATGTTTTTATGGCGTATTAGTAAAACTGAGAGTTAGAGAGGCTTTAAAAACTGAAGGGTGGAAAAGCTTGTTGGAACTGATGATATATCAATAAGAGGTGTGGAATGCTTAGGAAGATAAAGGATTTATGGCTTTTAAACTTTTTAATACTATTTGAAAGATCTAAGAAGATACCGAAGAATGGAGAATGAGTGTGTTAATCCTATTTTAAGAATAAGGTGATCGACAAGATTGTGCGATTATAGAGTATAAGTTAAATGTGGTCCTATTTAAAACATGGGCAGGAGTTTTGGAGCATAGTTGCGGGTGATACTAATGTTTCAAAATCAATTTGGATTCATGCCGGAGGTGCACTATGGACAGCAATCATTTTATTAAGAGGTTGGATGGAAAATATAGAGAAAAATAAGGAGGATCTACTATATGATATTTTGTTTAAAAAAGCATATGAAAGTTCACAAGAAGTGCTATGGAGAGTTTTTGAAAAGAAAGAGTCAATAATGCTTATACCTTCAATATAAAGATATGTATGCAGGAGCTAATTACTGTGTGTTCAAACACAATGTGGATTGACCAAGTATTTCCCTATTTCGTTGGTATACATCAAGGACAGCCTAAGCCAATATCTTTTTTGCTTTAGTCATGGATGTTTCTCACTAAACATTTGCAAGAGGATGTCCTTGTGTGCTTTTTGCTGATGATGATTCTTCTGTTTGATGAACTAGAGAGGTTGAG